TTGGTCACTTAATCTTTTGGGCTGCTTCCATACTTGGTGATATATACATTTCAGTATATATCTGAATCAATTATTGACTTGACATCCATATGGCAATTGTTCCTGACCTAGTCCTACAGTATTTTTTCTCCATGTAATCTTATTAATACCCAGAATTTTATCAATCACACTAACCCCTCCCACCAACTCATGGACATACAACAAAGTAAACATGGCAATTTTACACTAAAGAATCAAGGGGCTTCCAATTTAGCTGATGTTCCCATCTGCTTTTCTTCAACTTTTTCACTTTCCTGTTGAACATACTGGTCCAGCAAGGAACTGAGATGAGCAGGACCACGCTGCAGAAGTCTGCTAGTGTGGGAAGTCATGAGTGACAACACACCTGCAGTTTCCCCCTGGGCAGTCACTATGGATGGCAGTTTAGCATAATTTACAAAGCCTTGTTTGCTTAGGATGACATTGTCGATGCAAGCTCCTGAAAAAAATTAAATAAAACATTCAAGTTAGGTTGGAAATCTATTTTAAAAAATTACAAGAAAATTGCAGAATTTGATTTTTATATTTTATTTCCAGACATGCAGAGTTATAAAGACAGACCAAGGTGGTGGCTGAATGTGTTAAACATATGTCCAGAAAAAAACAGAATGCTCAGAAGGCTTTTACCTAGAAGATAGTCTAGAAATACATTAAACAAATAAAATTGCAGACACAATCACATTTGCCTAAGATAGGCACCTTGATTTTTTAGATCAAGTTTCAATTTGCACTTGCAAGAATTAACTACCCAGCACTATGTACATCCACATACTCAGTAAGTCTTTTATTTATTTCCACACTAAGCTTCCACATGGTTCTTAAGGCGCTTCCCACCCAGCAGTTCAAGGCCATTTCTTTAGTTTTAGTAGTAGAAAGGCATCATAGGGCACTGTTTTCAAACTGGAGTACTTGAAAGGGTTCCACAGGACTAAGGGAACAACAGCAACAACAAAAACCCTCTTCACAAGAGACTAAAGGGAAAAAATTCTTAGTCCCTCGCATGCAGCTTTCCCTTAGAGACTAAGGGGAGAAAAAAGGCTTAGTCCCTCGTGGAGAGCTTTTTTCCCCTCTTTTAGTCACTAAGGTGCAGCGGAAAAGGTGGGGTTTCTCAATTGACATTTAGAAGCTCCATCCTTCTTGATCAGGGGTTCTGGGTATTTTTTTTTTTAAACAAGCAGCTTCTGCTACCTGTGTTAAAAAAACCCTGTCCTATGGCTTTACAGCATGGTGTGAGCCATGTCTTCTCAGGTACTCCAACTGCACTTAGCTAATCTGCCTCTTCTACAGCTTGTTTCCCAGTGATCTAACTCCCTCATACATTAGCTTTCTCTACCTTGGATATCTCCAGATATGTGGGTTGTAAATTCCTGAATTCCCAACCATTGGTGAGAACTCTGGGAGTTAAAGTGCACAAACATGGGAAATGTCTAGGTTGGGGAAGGCTGCTTACCCCATCCCACTACACATAGCTAATCTTTTTGATAATAAAAGTTTTAAGACCTCTCAGTAAAAAATGAACCACCAACAGTTGCTTCAGTATCTCAGACTTTAAGGATATAGTCACTGACATGATGCAGAGATATCATCCCTTACCTAGCATGTTAATCTGTGGCACACGCTTCAGGATTCGTAGTGTTTCCTGGGCCCTTGTTTCCATACTGACAAGTAGAAGGTTGCGTTCCACGAAGAGAGGGAGGAGATTCTTATATTTAGATTCCAAAAGAAATGGTGTTATGACCTGGAAAGGTGGAGATAAAAAAAACCTACTAAGTGCCAAGGATTATATCAATGTGGTCCTTACATAGAAAAAATAGCACTGATTGCAGAGGTTACAGCAGAATGGGGAAGGGAGCCATATTTCCCCCTATAGAGCCCAAAGTAAGTTTTCCTATTATAGTGAAGGATCCTGCCTTGTGGAGGGGATTGGGGGAGTGCTGAAGGAAGAAAGAAGAAACAAGCAAAGATCCTCTTCCTATAGGAACAATCTCATAATGGTATTGCCAAGCTATAGCAAAACTCTAGTTTTCATCCACAGAAGTAGGTGATGCTGAAACTATAACCCTTCTCTCTGCATCTGAACTTTCAAATGGCAGATAGGATTTCTGAGCTGAGGTCTTATAACTCTACCAATGAAAACATACTAACTTCAAGAGAAGGAAAAACCCAGCTGAGATAGGGGAAGGCACCAAGAACAACAGAGCAACAAGAGTTGAGGGATAAAATTGTATCACTACATTCTACAATCTGACTGTGCTGGCCATTGATCAGTTACATTATTATTTGATATGTGGCTGACTACATATTAGCTAAAGAAGAGCATAAGTTCCCTTGGGACATTTTTTCTATAGAAACTTTCTTTTTTTCATTAAAAATTCCTTGGATGATCCTTCTGAGAAGGCAAAATATTTTTTTCTGGGCAAGCAGAATTTTTATTTAAGTCTAAGCACAAATTTTATTTTTATAAGTTATACAGAGCAGAAGAAAAAAAAAACCCTTTAGTACACACTACTATTACACCATTATATTTCTGAAAGGACTGTAAACACAAAACTGTACCTTACTAGGAAAAAATTTGACCTGGATATTATACTTTCGCAGCTGATGCCTCAACATTATCATGTCATTTCCAGGAATATAATTGTACTGGCACACAACAATCATTTTATTCTCAAGGAACGTTTGTTTCACTTGACGCAGTAACAGTCTTTCATAGCCAGTCTCCTAAATGGGAAAAATGTATTTGCAACCATGAGGATACAGACAAGTAAAAACTAAAAACAGATATATATTCTGTAGTTCAAAACGCCTGTGGGTTTCAGAAACAAAAATTCTGAATTATACTCCAAGGTAGTATAATCTAAATTAAAATGTTCCTCTAATTATAACAACTGTTCATACTTTTTTCAGAAGCAAATTAGAATCTTTATTAATTTATACTTAATTAGCCTTTTCTCTCTGTGATATCAATTAATTAAGTTAAACCTGTTAGCCTGCCTGGGGGCATGTTACTTTGAACTCTGTCCAAACTTAGCAAGGCACAGAAACTTGATTTAAACTTAAGATCCATTAGAATTATTGTGATTTGAAAATTAAATAGGCAACATATCCAAGAATATAGATTCTACCAATGTTTTGGAGGTGGGGGAAATTCAGACCTTGTGTTCCTGAAGTTCTTATCATGTAAGGTTAAGCCAAACAAATACAAATCAAGTTGCCAAATTCTGCAGGGATTCAGCTGTCATTCTATCACAAAGGAAGGCAGAATTTCTATCTGGATGGGGATATGACAGATTAGATTTTCCTGCTGTTGAGCAAAAACAAATTCAGTCTTATTTCCATTGCCAAAATACAAGTAAACGTGAAATATTCAGATTAGTGAACTCAGTTTTACAACATTAGTAGAACTTAGCTGTAGCACAAAGCACTGTTATAGCCATATAATTATTCAAAAGTGGGCTATTTTTGGTGAGTCATCAGCACAAGATAGCTCTAACAATGCAATTTATATGCCAATAGTATATACTTCACTGTTTAGCTATTTCTATCATTCATCTCTGACCCACAATTCTGCTTATATCTTAAACTATAAAGCCATATATGGCAAGGTATAATTTATATAAATGAAACACTCCATAAAACAAATTGAATAAACAATGAGAAAGCCAAGTGATCAAGTCAACTAATTCTCATCTGAGTCAAGCAAATGCTTTCCTGAACATAATAAGAAAGATGACTAAGATCTAAAAGGCTGCACAGAAAATCTTCCCTGAACAGGATTTTCTTGAGAAAGACATCGTTACAGAAAAGCTTCTAAGGATCTAGGATGTAGAAAATATCTAAATTCAAACAATTGAGTGGAATAGTCACAGCTGGTTTCTGATTTTAAAGACTGTGGTGGAGCATAACCAAGGATGCGAAGGGAAATTCTTTATGGCTTTACAGCTGAAGAGCAGCACAGATTAACTACAATCAGGAAAACAGCATAGCATCAGACACCTGTGTCAATATTAGGCTAATGTGGCTATCCATTACAGAACAGAAATTATATGAACCCTTCCTGGCAACACTATGAAGGCAAAGTATAAAAAGCTGTTTAAGAATTTTAACCACAAATCGGCCTCTACATTATTCCAACCATCCCAGAATAGAAGAATACTATTACTTCCTCAGGAAGAATAACGTGGGGCTTCATACAGGTCTCTGAAATCAGAGGTTTTGGTGGGATGTACTCAGTCACTGCCATCAGCTTTTGCCTCATAATGTGCATCGGTTTCCAGTGGCGTGTGACAGATTTGGAGCCATGGCGGATAAGCTGCAGGGTGGGCAGCCAGCCTAGAGCAATAGAAAAACAGGAGAATCAGACTATAGTACAAATCCCAAATGTTGGGCATTTGTGGGCTCTCATATGGCCACCATTTCCAAGATAACAATTCCAGAGAGGATCAGAGGATCCTAGTATTACAAAAAACTAAACATCCAGTAATGTCCAGATCAATTTATATAAATAAGCCAGTGTAGTGTAATATGAGCAGATAGTAAAGATTAAGCAATATTTACAGAGCACATAATTCCACATGGAATTATGTTCCAACCTGAAACAAAAAAATAAACTTCAAAACAAACAAACAGATAAAAACCTTTACAGGCGTAACATAATGTAATATTATGATGCATTTGTACAATGGCTGGTGTGGGTCTTCCGGGCTGTGTGGCCGTGTTCCGGAAG